AGTAGGCTCGGCGTGTGTCGACCCATTCCCCTATGTCTACGCCGGTCGTGTCGACTACGCGTACGCCTTCGTCCCGCTCGTAGCGCTCTCGTGCCCAGAGTGTGCCTTCCCATCTGCAGAAGCCTTGGATCTCGGCTTCGGTTAGCCCGAGCCGGTCGAATGCGTCGAAGAGTCGCTTGTGGTGTGGGAAGCGGCCGAGGCGTTTTCGGTGCGGTTGAAAGGCGTAGTTTAGGCCTGGGTACCGCGCTTCGATTGTGTCGAGCGAGCCGTAGAAGTTTGCTGTTTCGATGCGCACTTCGCCGACGAGGTTTTTGGAGAGGTGCGCGCTGAAGGAGGGCGGGTCTGTGGGCGAGGGCGTGGGGAAGAGCGTGTTGTAGACGAGCACGCTGATGGGGTTTTTGCGGTGCATGGCTGCGGGTGTGTTGAGGCGAAGTTTGTTGGTAGGAAGTGTGCCGCCGTGCGAGAGGGAAGCGTGGATAGATGAGGTGTCGCCGTCGCTCGCAGATTGCGCGTTTGGGTGCTCGAGTGTGAAAGGACAAGGCGGAAAGTGGGTTGTCGCAGAATGTGACCGCCTCACCCGCACCTTCTCTAACTTCCTCCTTACTAAGGGGCCGGCCAGGTGTGTGTGCTGACCTCGGGCGTGACCGCTGTTTCCAAGGTTCCCACGTTCTGACGCCGCCTAGCTCTCCCACTAGCTATCAGACGCTCGTCGGAATGGTGCACACCGGGTACCTGACAGCTGACTCTGCTGTCTTGCGCGTGGAGGTTCCGAAAGTCCCGTGGATGGTAATTTGCAAAATCCCTGGATGCACAGAGGGAATCGCTCGAATCCTATGTCTTTTGCGCTATCCTGCAGATCTTGCGGGCCAGAGGGGAGACCCCGGCTTTTGCTGCGAGATTGGTCGGGAAGCGTCGACGGCGTTTTGCGACGAGAATGCGGCACGGCGACGACGTGGGAAAACGGTGCAGCTAGCCGTCACCACACAACACAAGCTAGAGAAGTCTGAAGGGCGAGGCCGGCGAGGAGCAGGAGAAGAGCGAGCAAGATGGGATCAAAGGGGAGCACGCGGGTATAAGACATGCACTCTACTCGCGTCAAGGCTCGCTGCCCTCACCGCCAGCACATGCACGTTTGTGGCTCGCTATTATTCTGGATCCTCACAGTTGGCCACAGATGTCGCAACAGGGACCAGACCCTGAAGGCCGCCATGCGAAGGCTCACACCGACGATCCCCAGTTTTTGCTCTTTCACCAGACTGACCTCGGCCACCCTATTGAACATTCTGCTCGCCACCTAGCACACCTGCTAAGCAGAAGCGTCGCTGCACCTGTTAAGCCTCGCCGACGGTAAACACGAGAACCGCCGGCCTCTTCGCTGTCAAAGCATGCCTGGTGTAATCCCACCTGCGACGGCGGGTGAGTTGTAACCCAGCGCATGAGAGACCAATAGGTCCGCCCGCCCGCCGATTATCCGGGCCCGAGTATTCGACATGGATGCCGCGGGACGAAGCATGCACGAGGAACGACTGGTCCAGCTCTCTGTTCCACTGCCATGCCTACTGCAGGGTTACTCCAACTTGGCCCTTGCTATGCAGGCCAAGCCTGTGCGACTTGCTAGCATTTCCGTCGTCGCGCTCTTGCCGGCGACGACTTTCTTCCAGTGCGCCACGGAAGCGCATGTGCTATGCAGGGGTGGTGAAGGTGTGGTGTTTACTTTTTGTTGTTTGAGGGTGGACCATGGAGGGATTGTGGGCGAGGTGATATGCCGAGAATCGGACCCCTGCCGTTCCGCCTCGATTGTATCTGGAGCCGATTGGGCAACCACTAGGGTCACGTGCGTGCTGCTGACACATCGAGTCCGCGTACGCCGTGGCTGCCTCATTCCATCTATCCTTCGATCCACCACACCCAACGTTTCTAAGTTTTCATCTGAACCCGTGACGAACAGCTGCCTGCAGCCCTACGGGTCCCAACCACGCCTCATCCGCGCCCGTGACAGACTGCTGCCTGCGATCCCTCCGCCTATATAATCCGCCAAACTCTCAGCCTCTTTCTTCCTTCCTCATCCTAGTGCAGGGGTGATTTGCTTACCAGTGAAGATGCGTCTGAGGTAGCAATTTTGCTGGTTTAAAACTACATATATTGACTGCTCTGGTAGGCCTTCTGGGCCTTCCAGGAATTTTTGGAACCCTCTTCGTTGGTCTCGGTAAGCTAGTCGCTGCTGGATTGAAGAAGGGGCCAGTGTTGTGCATCCTGCCCGGCTTATCTCAACGCATTCTTGTACGACCCGAAGGTACTCGTACTGCATCGGGGGTCTTGCAAGAGAATGGGGCGGAGATATATTACTGCGATACCACCAGAGTGGTTTTCGGCCTCCACGCCATGTTTTCGGGGCTCGAACTTGGCGACGGCACTGAGATAGACGATAGGAGGCTGACATCGCCGCAATAACGGCGCGTTGTATCGTGCGACGATGATCGAGTATAAGGCGCGAACTGTCTTGTACCACTTTTCAAGTTCTTCGACTTACCCGCCTGTGTCAGCTTTCCACTCTTTTTCTCTGCAATCTACGCGACAGACATGTCTGGAACCCAAGGACCTCCAGCGACCGACCAGCTCATGGCAGACGGCCGAATCTCCTTCGCTAGCTTTGCGATGACTGAGCTAGTGTCTTTTTCAAGCCAACCACTCACTCGCCAATCTGTCTCTCCAATTCCGTCAAGAGCAGAGTCGCCTTCCACAATCAACAGTCCCGATTACATGTCGACTACACAGCCCCAAAGAGACTCCGCATCTCCTCGAGCCAAGCCATTGCCCATGGCCACACAACATCCACGTCCTATGGGCTGGTGGTGGGAAGTGGCCGCTTTGTTACTGAGTACTGTGTGCATGTCGTTGATCCTGGCTATCCTTTTCACCATGGACGGCAGGCCTATGAGAGACTGGAGACTCCCCATTCAGCCAAATTCCTTGATAGCAGTGTTTTCCACTGTCGCCAAGTCCGCATTGCTAGTTCCTCTTGCCGAGTGCATTGGACAGCTGAAGTGGACCTACTTCCAGACACCCCAATCGAAGCCTGTCAATCGCCTCTATGACTTCGATTTGGCTACCCGAGGACCATGGGGATCCCTGACCTTTCTGTTCAACCTGCGATTAAGAAAGTCCGCCGTGTTAGCATGCTTCGGAGCCGCCTTGACGATTCTTTCGCTTGGCTTTGAGCCTTTCACACAGCAGGTCCTGAGAGTCTACTCTAAACCCGCACTACTAGTCAATACTACTGGGACTGTAAGCTCGAGCAAAGCATTGTCAGATGTGTGGAGTACAGAGAATGCTGATCTGGCTGGTATGTTAGTTGCACAGATGGCAAGTCGTCCTTTCATTGACTGTGTCATAGGCATGGAGTATCCTCTGACTGTTGGGGTCATTGACCATGTCTCTTTGCAGGATATCAACCTACTAAGCAACGTATACTGTCCGACAGCAGAATGCAAACTTGATCAATTCATCTCTCTGGGTCTTTGCGATTCCTGCACCTCCCGAGACGTGTCCTTTGATGGCAACTTCTGGAACGGCGATATCGAACAAGATGATGGGTACGAAGGATGTATCAATACGGTACAATTTTCCAACGAAACAGAAGTAAGAGTCAGATGGAACTATACTGCGATGAGAGATCACGTTGCAGCCGGCAACGCAGCTCGGTGGGATAGAAATTGCGTTATCAGGAAACCAGGGTACCCGGAAATGAAGATGTTGATTCATACGAGCTACGGTGGTGACTATACATGGCCTAAGGTGGGTGTAACCAGCTCAGATATGAAGCTAGCCAATGGATACCGACTTGGCCTCCTTCGCTTGGAACGCGATCTCATGGATAGGACACTTGGCCTCGTCACTGCAAACAATGACGACGCCGTATGGAACCCATCGAACTCTACCCCGCAGATAGAGTTCTGCATCGGAGACTACGAACGTTACCAGGATGATGTCATACTTGACCCTTATAAACTACCACTGCCAGCTGTCTCTGCATTCGCTTGCTTTAAGTCGACGTCCGATATCACTCGTGTTGACGAAATTGATCGACTTGGGCTGGTGAACGGGACAATATCCCACTGCAAACTGAGCTATTGTGCGAAGCGATACTCCGGTACCACCGTACGAAATACGATAGTGAGCTACGACTCAGTGGAGGAATGGCCACTGCACCCGACTGGCGACCCCTACAAAGCAGGATCTGGATACGACCAGGCATTCCGCGCAGAAGGCCTGAACGAGACATTCTACATCGGCAATCATTCGACCCTTTGGCTCGGCTCTGCCACGTCGAGGATTCTCAAATCTACCATACTGAGCACGTATTTCGTGCCATACCACGAACGTCACACATGGCCCGAATTCTTCCGAGGTTTTGCAGAAGTAGGAAGCAAAGTCATACAAGGTCCCGGCAACTCCGCGGCTATCAACAACACCAGCGAAGCTTACGGACCGGACATCTTTGTTGATGTGAGATGGGCTTGGCTTGCGTATCCGCTGGCGCTTCTCGTTTACTCTACGTTATTCCTGCTTCTAACGGCGCTGGGTAGCAGAAGACGCTCCTACCTCTTCAAGAACTCGATATTAGCTGTGCTCGTTCATGGGCTGGAAGGCTGGGAGGCGGCGGCTTGTCCTGAGCTGCTTACGGTGGCGAAGGAGAGGAATAGTGACCTGAAACGAGCTCTGGGACCGGCGAAAGCGTCCTTCATTGAGAATGATGATGGCTTGCTGAAGCTTAAGCGTGACTGATTTTCTCATCAAGAGAGACTAATATGGCAGGCGCGTCTCGAGGTCGCTCTCACCTTCACTTTGGTTCTCACCTCGCGCTAGCCCCGCGCTTGGACCGTTGTTTGCCTAAACTTGCAGTACCACCCAGCCCCAACCTACTTCTGCACTCTTTCCCCAACATCAATTGCCTGCGACGGCATCTCCACTTGCCGCGCTTCCTCGACGGCCGACCCAAGATGGCGACTCCTACCGTCATCGAGATCCCCAAAACAAAGTCCGCCGCCGCCGACCCGAGTGCGCGCAGCTTTCTCACTACTATTCCGCCTGAGATCCGCAACCGAATCTACGAGTGTTTGTTCAAAAGAGATGGACCTGTTATTCTAGACGACGGCCAGGTGCACAGGGCACTTTGGAATTGGGATCATGTCATTCATCTCACGCAGAGTGGCGTCGAGCAGCAAGTAAGGAATGAAGATTTGTGTGATGTCTTTGCAGGTTGCACCGACCTTCTACTATCATGCAGGCAAGTCTACCACGAAGCCGTCGGTATTCTCTACTGCCAGAATACTTTCTTCTTCTCTCAATTCCTTGAAAACCAGATGCGCTTCACCTGCACATGGCTGTCAAGAATCGGATCACACTATCAGCTCTTGTCTCGCGTAAGCATAGATGCGGAACCATCTGCTCTAATACATTATCGGGAATACAATCTGTTACCGCTGTTGAAGCTTATTTGGAACCATCCTCAGGCCAAATGCGAGTTTGCCTTCGTGCATTCCGGAAGTTCGTTGTCTCAAGAACGAAACAACGGCGCTGGATATCACGACCCAATTACTGTCGCGGATCTTATGAACCGTGTCCTCTTCGAATTACGCACGGCAGACGTTCTCAACCTCAGGCAATATGCTAAATACTCTGGCCTGATCTCATCAATAAAGATCTGGTTCCATGAGCACGACCATTTTGGATACGTCGAATACAATGATTCGAATATTCCACATCCCTTCCCGCATCCGGGAAGAATTTTCGACATTCCAGACCATGGTTCCGAGATTCAATGGAAAGAATCTGAACAGTTAAGGCTTCTGTCCCTGCCTACTGAAATCCTATCGGCCATCAATGCGTACGCAGGCGCATCTGACACAAACGTTACATTCGACCTGGACACCAACAAAGCCCAGGGCTACCGCATAGGCCTCAGCGGAGTCAACGACCTGCTGCGGGGCGACATCGATCACATCTATACGCGAGTGTACGACGAGATTGTCGTCCGCATGTCTACTCAGGAAGCTAGGACCGACTTCAATAATTTCAAGGCACTACAAAAGCTGTTAGAGATTGAAAACTTTGAAAATTTGGTCAATGGTCGCAGAGAGGAGCATTGTTTCATCAACATGACTCTGATATTCAAGCTCTCTATAGCAAAACCCACCGCGGACCTTCGTATAAACATCAACAAGCTTCTGTATACATTCAATGACGACCATGGTACTCTTGTTATTACCGTTCAAGAACCCGATAGCAGCATGAAAGACACCCAGTCCATCAGGTGGCAGCATATTCAGACAGCAGTATTCCTCTTGCTATCAGATGTATCGGAGCAGTATCCTTCCAAAACCGATCAGCCTTTTCCACAAATATGGATCAACGGTTACGGTACTGTTTTGTGCGCTACGTACCCCGCCACGGCCATCTCCGAGGAGAAAACCATTCCCTGTTCTTATGGCATCGACGATCCGGCTGACATCCTCGACCAATACCATCGCAAGACCGAGTATCTTGATCAAAGTGGAATATGGGAAAATCTTGCGTCCTCTTACGACATTTATTCTTATATGAATAACGATAGCCTGGCAAGTATGTGGTACTGCTTACGGTACTTTCTTGGGAGGGATCTTGAAGGGTGATCGTGGCGATGGAGGATCAAGGCCGATGAGAGTGTCACGCGAAAAGAAGCAGATGCATGGACCCGAGAACTACCTAAAGAGAGCCGATGCGAGTAGCAAAGATGCACCAAAGTGGACAGCAAGCCTGGAGGCATCCGATAGCGGCGACTCAACACTGTGCTCTGGTTGGACCTCGCGGCTAGTATGTGGGATTGGCGACTGCGAGTAGGATCTGCCAGGAACGGAAGGCTTTTCGGATCACCAGCAAGGTACATCGTTTGTGCGGGAAGTGATGAGGAGTGACACGTGGCTGAACTGAGGCTGGAGTAACAGTTCCTTCAAAATGTACATAGTAATCTTGAATTCATCAACTACACAAACTTCTCCATCCCTACTAACAGTTCCTCGAGCACCCAAACGGAAACGGCAGAACAGCCGGACTCTTATACCCGCCATTCCCCACGCTCCTCACCCCAAAAATAACATTATCCTTATGGATCGTCGCCGAAGTAAGATTGAACCAATTCACATTCCCCACCTCAATAACATTCGTCCAATGCGGCTCAATCGTGTCACGATACAGGATCTCATACCCCTCAACCGGCAGCCCCTTCGGCGCGTCCCACTTGAACTGGCTGAAATTGTCCGAGGTCGTAGTGTTGATACCAACATTAGTCGGCTCACCCGGCGCGTTGGCGAGACTCCACATAGTGGACGCAACGACCTTGGCGGCGCGCGTGTTGTACTCAAAGTCTAGCCACTCAACTAGATCGCCGTATTGCTTTCCATTGCGCACGGTAACGTTTTGATGCTGTTGCGTGTAGTCCTCGTTGGGCTGGACGAAGCGAACGCCTGTGTAGCCTGCTTCGAGGAAAGGGCGGTGGTCGCCGCCTCTGCTGTATCTGTCGAGACGGTAGATGAGGCGCACTGTCATTTCCGTGAAGGCATTCGATGCGACTTCGTAGATAAAGCGACCTAGATTGCGAGCAGGACTGTCGTTGTCACCACCGATGCTAAGCCGCGATGTCATCTTCGTGGAGTTCTCAGTCAGAGGCGTGCCCTGGCAGAAGAGACGGATGTTGTAGGGATCGATGGTGCCGTCGGAGGCTTTGGAGTTGCCCACCATGTCGAGGTTAATCATGCCTGCTACATTTACGGATGCATTCTTGTAGGTTTGGGCTAGGTTCTCGGCGCCGAGGAGACCTTGTTCTTCGCCGGCGAAGGCTGTGAAGACGATGGTTGTTTTGGGCTTGTAGTGTGCGAAGATACGCGCGAGTTCGAGAGAAACTGCGACGCCTGAGGCGTCGTCTACGGCACCGGGTGCGTCGCCTTGGTAGTCGATGGGGTCGCTGTTGCGCGAGTCATAGTGCCCGCCTGTTACGTAGACGCGATCTGGGTCCTCGCTGCCTTTTAGTGTTGCGACGACGGTTGTAATGTTTACTGGGAAGATGATGCGCTCGTTGTCTCCGGGGTATTTGATGAAGCTGTTCCAGTCTACAGTCATTCTCCCTTCGCTTTCATCAGCTGCTTCTTGAAATTTAGCCGTAAGCCATGTTCTCGCAGCGCCGATGCCTCGGTTTGGGTCAGTTTGACTTGACAGGGTATGACGCGTGCCAAATGATGCAAGCTTCCGGATTGTGGCTTCGATGTTGTCGCGCGATATTTGCGAAATGATGTCCTGAAGGTCTTCATCCGGCATTTGTTGCTCTACCGCCTTGCCGACGACGGGTAATGGCCATTGTTGCGCACTTGGGAATGACTGGTGAGGATGATGTGCGTGGATAGGTGACGAGAAAGCCGTCTGCAGCAGTGTTGCCGCGCAGACTGCGAGGATGGATGTAGACCGCATGTTGATCGATCTAGAGAACTGTCCTTGACGATACAAGAGATCTTACCGAAATCTTCTCTTCCTAACTTTTATACTCCACCATTTTCGCCATCCCACTCTTCGCGACAGGCTGTCGACTGCCGGTATCTCCAACATCTCGCGATACCGCAGTGACTGCCGTCATCGGAGAAATGCAACTTTTGCTATCATGGCTTTCGCGAGCGCCGATCTGTATCGTAAGTGGAAGCTCGTAATGCTACCAAGACGCCAGAAGGAGAATTAGGGAAGACTTCAACAGCTTTGCTGCATGCTCAGCTTGGCAACGGGTACCGTGTGCGGGGTTCTCCATTGAGCTTCCGAACGTTTGCGATGACATGCGATAGCAACCGTCATCTTCCGGATGAAGAAACTATTAGTAAAGCGAGCACATTCTCGCGACGCCTTCCATTCTCTGTTGGCTGGTAGTGCAGTCGCGCTGGTAGTGCTGGTGTTAGTTACCTTCCGAGGTGGCTGGCAGCCAGGGGTCTTGATCATGCAGTTTGTGTCCCGCTTTGCGAACAGCACATCCTCATCGATTATGCAGTGTTTGCAGAAACGCTACAAATGTCGTGATGGAAGTCTGGTGAGCACATCGGCTTGGTCAGTCGAGATCAAAGGGACAGCATCTGAACAAGATGGTGAAGATGGCGCTAAAGCTTGGCGTGACATCATCGCATTGACTGGGGAAGCCACCAAATTGCTACAATGCGAATCGACGACAGTGACATTCTAAAAGCACAAGTATCTGTCAGCAGAATTTATGATTATACCTACACTCATGCCATGCAGCAGCGGCTGCTTCCCGGCGCTGCATCGAAGATTTCTCACTGATCGACGCCTCGTAGCGCCGCAACAAGCTTGACAAGCCTCGGCTGCACGAATCGTATCGTCGATGGTTCTCACGTTGCGCAGCATTGGCTGTGTACATGTTCTCTATTCGTCCTGGGAACCCCATGTCTACCCCACGTGTTTCGAGATATCCGGTGGTACCTGGGGTTCATGAACGTGCTAACTCCAAAGAAGAAGGTAACAAGACTGGCAGCAACACCAAACACGGAGTGAAAAGCCAAACTCGGAGTACACAATAAAGGCCCGATGCATCACAATGCATGTCATTTAAAGCGTCGGATAGGAACTACGCAATCACTGGTCAACGTGAACGGATCAGGTGTAGTCATTGGGTATCGACGGCGGTAAACAAGAACAGTCCTGCTTAACGAAGCGGAGGAGGAGATTGAACTGGTAGAAATAGGCATGTAGGTAAGGTCTGATGACATGGCTTGCCAATGTACTTGCAAGAGACGATGCAGTAGCGCAGGAGATAGTACTGAACTGGCTATGGCCATACTCGCTATGCTTCGGTAGAACGATGGCCCCGAATACAAAAGGTCAAACACTCCACCTATTCTTGGTGGATCATCATCACTACCAGCCTCTTCAGACTTCCTTCGTTTCAACTCGGCCGCCCTCGACAATCGCTCATCATGAAGACTTGCGCTAGCTCCCTTCTTGCCCTTGCGGCCGTCCTCGCCACTGCCCTCGCTGCGCCAACACCAGCGAACGGAGTGAGCTTCCCCATCACCGACCTCCTCGACAAGGACCTCACTGTCGAGGAGTACGCAGCACAGATTGAGAACCAGGACGTTGAAACACGTGACCTTACCAAGCGCCAGTTCAGCGGCGACACTTACAACCAACTGACTGACGGTACCGCCTGCCGTCGCGTAACTGTCATTTACGCTCGTGGTACTACCCAAGGTAAGATCTCTCTACTGATAGTAGGCGAGTTGTATACTGATACCCTTTCTAGCTGGTAATGTAGGCGAGGCCAACTCCGAAGGCCCAACCTTCTTCAACGCTCTGGCTTCGCGTGTCGGAGGAGCTAGCAACTTGGCCATCCAAGGCGTTACCTACCCTGCTAACGTCATTGGCTTCTTGGCTGGAGGCGACGCCGCAGGTGCCACCACTATGTTCAACTTGATCAACCAAGTGAGTGTCATCACGACTATTGATGTATCAGTACGATGCTGACTGTGCGCCTAGGCTATTACACGATGCCCTTCGACCAAGATCGTCGTCTCCGGATACTCCCAGGGCGCACAGCTCGTGCACACTGCTACACAGAGGCTATCAGCCTCCGCTGCCTCGCGTGTCACCGCCGTTGTAACATTCGGCGATGCTGATCGTGACGAGTCTTTCGGCTCTGTTGCTGCCAGCAAGGTTCTCATCATCTGCCATGCTGGTGACAACATCTGCGACAACGGCATCATCATCACCCCTGAGCACAGGAACTACGAGATCGATGCTCCTACTGCTGCCGCTTTCGTCGCCGCTCGCGTTTGAGTTCGAAGTTGAGGGAGGCTGGAAGTACGATCATATACGATTAGTTTAATGGTTACGGAAATTTACGCTGGGTTACTGTTTGTACGATTGTTCCCTGATCTTGACTTCCTTCTCTTTTCAGTGCATGGGAAATACTACTCGAACGCATCCAGAATATGTGTGAAAGTTGACGCGACGACGTGTAATAGGAAAGGCAGTCTAGTCGACAGGATCAAAGCGAAAGTCTATATGCAAAGAAATCGTCTACCCGTGTCAATTGAGCAGTGGTGGATTGGTGAGAAGAAGTTCAGGCTGACAGGGCTCGATCGAGATGATTGTCAGCAACGGAGTAAGAACTGCATTGTAAATTAATGGGCAGATGCAGACTTGAACGGGCAATGCGACCGCGTGGTCTTGAGTCCTCCCGTTTCGCCGTCCGCGGGTGTCAACCCCTCTGCCGTCTTCAGGCACCCCCAATATAACGTGCTTTCCGCATCTCATGTCGAAATAGCGCATCCATTGCAACCTTTCGCGTAAGATGTCCATCAAACCGACGGAAACCGCACCATACTTGGCAAGCCACAGGAAAACTCGAGTGAAGTCATAACCCAAAGGGTCCGACCCGTGGACGCTTGGAGCGCAAGCCGCCACGCGCGAGTCATTTAGTCATTTAGCGCAGATGTCGTGCTCGCCCCATAGAAAACACCAAACGTCTCGATCGCGGTGATTGCCTCAACATCCATCACTAAGGAGAGAAAAATTGGATACCAAGCTCGCCAAGCATCGCGGTGTCGTCGGAACTCTTAAGATATGTAGTCTCCACGCCGGACTG